GCTCACAATGGTAAGCTTTCCTCTTCTAAGGTATATGACCTTCTTAGGATGAAAGGGACTACTAATGCATGGATGTCTTTCATTTGGAAAGCCTATATCCCACCCAAGTTTTCTTTCATAATGTGGCTGGCCTATCGTAATAGGCTACCTACATATGACAATATGGTTTATCTTGATATTGTTAATGTTTGTCCTTTTTGTAAGGGTGGTCCGGAGACGGTACCACACCTATTTTTTGAATGTGTAAGTACATGGCAGATTTGGGAGAGTATCAAAGGATGGCTTGGAATCTCTAGGCAAATGTCTTCGTTAAGGAGTGCGGTGAAATGGATTTCAAGAGATTGCAACGGAGCACATATTAGAGCAAAGGCTACACGGATAGCTTTCAGCTACACAATCTATTGGATATGGAGGACTAGAAATGCGATTCGTTTTGATGGAGCATCGCTAAAGCTGGATGATACAATTGCACATATTAAGTATATGGTGTACAAAGTGCTATTCTCGCTATATCCGTATCACATGATACCTTTTTGAATTATAAACTAGCCTGTTTTTTTGTCATGAGGTGATGGCTATTGTTTTGCTAGATGATAGTAGTTAGAGTTTTAAGCTCTACAGCTTTTGAAGTTATAGGGTATCCATGCTTGGATATGCCTCAAATTTTGCTCATACGATGTACATAAACTTGGTTACTATCTATATATTTACATTTCCCCAAAAAAAAGTAATTAATTTGTCAAAAAATAGTTGATAATATTGTGAAGAGTGAAATACACTTAGAGTAGGAGTGTATTGGTGAGGATTGGTTTTTTGTAATAGTTGAGTGTGAGAGTTTGCTCCTCCTATTGTAATTCTGTTCTTGATATTGAATAGAAGAATTTTTCAATCCCAACAAGTGGTATCAGAGCGAGGTTGCGTTTCCATACACTTTTTCTCATTTTTCAGAAAAATTTCTACATGTTAGAAAATCGTGATTTTCGAAGTTGCTCGGAATCACGATCTGATCATACCGTTAGATTCATCTCGTCGAGAGGAGAAATCTGGTATTTTTGGGTAATTTTTTGGCCACCGGAAGAGCCTGTACGCGCCGCCGGAAACTGCCCGCGTCATCACTACGTCATCACGCAGTCCAAAGGAAGAAGACGAGACACGTCAGAAGCCACGCGGGCCACGTCATCGCCACATCAGTGCCACGTCGGGCCACGTCATCGCCACGTCATCGCCACGTCGTGCTGAGCCATTCTCCATGTCGTCCACATAATCCGTCTCCGTTGCCACGTCATCTGCCACGTCAGCGTCACATCAGCGACAGTCAGCGCCAGCGCAGAGCCAGCTGTTGCCATGTCATCAGCCTGTTGGTCTGCCCACTGGGCTGCTGCCTGAACCGGACCGAACCGGTTCGTACTTGTGGAGGCCGGTTCACCTATTTCCAGACCGGTTTTGGACGAGATCAGACCGGTTCCTACCATTTTCGGCCATTCCGGATCCAACAGTGAGCTCCGTTTGTCCAAATTCGGCTTCGAAAATAAGGTACGAGATATATTGAGCGTTTTATTATTGATAATTCATTGTCGGACACCACGATTGCGCTCACTTCCACAAACTACATTATGTGGAAGCCTCGGATGGAGGATTTGCTAAATTTGAGGGATTTAGACGATCCTCTTGATAATAATGGTGTCAAACCGGATAAAAAGACGGATGAAGAATGAATAAAAATGAATCGAAAAACTGTCGCACAAATTCGACAGTGGATCGATCATAGTGTGTTCCACCATGTTGCTCAAGAACAGAGTGCTTACACACTGTGAGAGAAGCTTGGTAGCATGTATCAAGCAAAAACTGCTCGAAATAAGACGTTACTAATGAGGCGATTAGTAAACCACAAGTTACGAGGTGGTATTTCGGTGTCAGAAGACACCAGTCAATTCCAGGATCTTGTAAATCAGTTGAGCACCACCGGATGGGTTCTCAAAGATGAAGAGCAGGCGATACTACTCTTGAGCTCTCTATCTGACAGCTGGGAGACTCTTGTTGTCACTCTCAACAATTCTGCTCCCAATGGCAAGGTGACTATGGAGATGGTCACAAATGCCCTTATGAACGAAGAAGCCCGAAGAAAAGAAGCCGGGACTGAACAATCATATGCCCTCATATCATAAACTAACAGACGAGGGGGAGGCAGAAATGGAGGAAAAAGTCGAGGTCGAGGTAGAGGCGAAGGTCAAAATAGAGGAAACTCTCAAGTTCGCGGCAGATCACAAGAGAGAGGTATGTCCTTTGAAAACAATACTTGGTTTGAAGGATATTGCAATTACTGTAGTAATTATGGGCATAGAAAAAGAGATTGTAGAAAGTTTCTACGAGAGCAGCCACAGACGAGTCAAAATACTAGCTAAGAAGATGGTGCGATCATGGTTAGTTTGTCATCAGACGTGTTACTTGTTACACATGGTGAACAAGAATGTTTACACGTAGGTACTCATGATGTTGAGTGGGTGGTTGATACAGCCGCATCATTTCACGCCACTCCACACTAGAACTTATTCACATCTTATAAGTCCGGAGACTTTGGTGCTGTGAAGATGGGAAACACCAGTTTCTCAAAGATTGTTGGCATTGGTGATGTGCACATAACAACCAATGTCGGATGCGCACTTGTGTTGAAAGATGTTCGACACATTCTGGATCTTAGATTGAATCTTATCTCCGGTACAGCTCTGGATCAGCAAGGATATCTTAACCGCTTCAAAGAAGGTACGTGGAAGCTATCTAAAGGTTCCTTGATTGTTGCAAGAGGCCATATTTGTGGTACTCTTTATAAAAACCCATGCAAAGCTATGTCATCCAAGTCTCAATGTTGTTGAAGAAGAGACATCACCAAACTTGTGGCACCGGAGGTTAGGCCACTTGAGTGTGAAGGGATTGACAACTCTTGCAAAGAAGGAAGCCATTTCCTTGGGCAGAGGTGTTGCTCTATCCATGTGAGCACTGTCTATTTGAGAAACAACACAAAGTTTCCTTCAATTCTACCAGAAAGAACCATTCACAGTTACTCAGTCTTGTCCACTCAGATGTATGTGGACCCATTGAAGAGGAGTCACTTGGAGGAAGCAGATATTTCGTGACATTCATTGATGATGCATCACGAAAGGTATGGGCTTACTGTCTAAAGAGTAGGGACCAAGTGTTTGATCGTTTCAAATCATTTCATGCCATGGTAGAAAGAGAAACAGGGAAGAAGCTGAAGTGTCTACGTTCAGACAATGGAGGAGAGTACACTTTCAGGGAATTCTCAGCGTATTGCGCTGCATATGGAATCAGACATGAGAAGACGGTTCCACGAACTCCACAACACAATGGTGTAGCCGAAAGAATGAACAGAACCATTGTGGAGAAAGTTCGTTGCATGTTGAGTATGGCTAAACTACCGAAGCCATTCTGGGGTGAAGCTGTGCTGACAGTTTGTTATCTTATAAACAGGTCACCTTCTGTTCCTTTAAACTTTGAAGTGTCAGAGAAGAAATGGTCAGAAAGAGATGTTTCTTACTCTCACTTGAAAGTGTTCAGGTACAAGGCATTTGCACATGTGTCCAAGGAGTTGAGACAGAAGCTTGATCTCAAGTCAAACCCTTGCATATTCATCGGCTATGGAGATGAAGAATTCGGATAGCGGTTGTGGGATCCCGAAGTGAAGAAAGTTGTACGAAGCAGAGATGTTGTATTTCATGAAAACGAGTTTCATGGGTGTGCTCCAATAATTTGCCAACAACATACTCCAGAAGATGAAGTGCCTGTATCATCAAACATTCCTCTCAACGACGAGGAGATGCATGATTCTACTGAACACGAGAGTGATGGTTCAGCAGGTGATGATGATACTCACAGTGATGATATTCCTCAGCAGGGGGGGCCTTCATCTGAAGACGAATCTGAAGGCATTCATGTTCGACGTTCTATGCGAGACATAGTTCCACAGAGAAAGTATTCCACATCCGAATGGATACTTGTTGCCAGCGAGGGGGAGCCAGCGAGCATCGCAGGAATGAGAGAAACAAAGAAAAAGGTGGAGGGGGAGATTTGTAGGGAATTTCCACCTTCTTTCTTGGAAGTTGCCAAGAGGCATCTCACACCTTCTTGGAAGGAGCTCTCCAACAAATGAAAATGGGAAGAAGATATGGAGAAGATGGAAGCACTATCTCTTATCTCCAAACCAGCCCTATAAATAGAGTGTTCTATTGTTGTTCATATCATTAATGTAGAAAGTGAGAAAAGTGTGTGAAGAGTGAAATACACTTAGAGTAGGAGTGTATTGGTGAGGATTGGTTTTTTGTAATAGTTGAGTGTGAGAGTTTGTTCCTCCTATTGTAATTATGTTCTTGATATTGAAATATTGAATAGAAGAATTTTCCAATCCCAACAAATATATCTTTTGTTTCCATATATGACATATATGAGTAGGGTATGTAGGGGTGGACCGGTTCCGGTTCGGGCCCTGTTCGGCTGGGCCTCAGTTCATGAAAGGGGAGGCCCGGAACCGGCCCGGGTAAGCCCCAGGTCCGGTCCGGTCTGGGTAACCCCCGGGTCTGGTCCGGTCCGGGCCGAGCTGCGGTTCATGTAATTTTTTTTTTGGCTTTTCCTAATTAACCCCCAACCCTCCCCCCTCACCCCCAAACCACCTCAAATGGCCCATCATACCCATCCCAAAAACTTAAAAAAAAATCAAAAAAAAAAAGAAAAAAATAAATAAATTGGCCCAGACCGGGCCCGAACCGGCCGGGCTGGTTCACTATTTAGCAGGCTCGGGCCCGAACCGCCTACCTCACCGGGCCGGGTGGCCCGAACCGGACACCAACCGGTTCACCGGGCCGGTCCGGGCCCGCACAGTAGCGGGCCGGTCCGGTTCCGGTCTCTGTCTCTTCGTATAAATATGCAAATCCCATAAATTAAATAAGGACCTCTCATTACATTTGAGAATTAGAGATATATAATACGGAGTAGAAGTGGTAGTTATTAAGAGAGAAAAAAGAAAAGTTCCAATGGAAAAGGGAATATGAGTACACATAAGAGCACAAATTTTAAAATCGTGATAACACAATTCAATACCAATCACATCTAATCTAACAAAGAATTTCCGGTTTTAATAGAACAATCATAGAATGAAAATATGTTGCTAATCTGATGATGGAATTACTTGAGATGCTTTGCTCTGGAGACTTGGAGAGTAGAGATGAAACGTACGAAATGGTGAAGGAGCTGCTCGTGTCTTCTGTTGGCGTTTGTGATGAACTTGTGTTCCAGCGACTTGAAGTGTCGCCTAAAGCACACGCCACGCGGTAATTACTCCATTTATTGTTTACTTAAAGCTAAGTAACAGTGAAGGAGTGACAACACAGTGCCGGGCCGAGACGGGTCCCGGGTTGGGCCAACACAGTGCCAGGCTGGAGCGGTTCTCGGGTCGGGCCGACCCGACCCAGTCCACCCCTACTTGGGCTCACAACCTGCTAAAGAGCTCATACAACAATGACTATTAAGAACATTTTAAAACTGAATTAAAAATATGATCTATTCATTCGGCCAAAAATATGACTTCGTTTAATCATAAAACACGATTTTAAGCTCTAATATATTACTCATTCGATTAAGACCCTCATTCAAACAATTTATATTAAAGAAGCCTATGATTTAATATATGTAATGTGTGTGGTAATAACTACTCATACACGTAAGAGCAGCACATAAAAATAACCTTAAGTTAGTTATTTTATTATTCTCAGACTATTTATTCAGCACACTAAGTAAACAACCCATTAGTCGATTACACCTGACCATTTAACTCAGATAGTCCAGGACTTGACAAAAAAAAGTAAACAGCTCCTAAGGAAATTTGACGAAGTTGGGGATGGATTGCAAAACATAATATGGAGAAAAGACAAACCAACTAAGATCTTTCCTCAGTAACTTATCCAAATTCTCAAAAGAGTTGCGTTTTTAAATGCATCTGAAGACAGGATCATTAGAGAACTAAAAGATGTGTTTACCTGAGAACTTCTCATGGAAACCCAGTTCATTATAAAACTGTATCACTTCAATAAAAGAAGCTACAGAGCTTTTACTCTTACTACACTGTCTTTCCCGTGCCAGAAGTTTTCTATTGAGGTCAACGGACTCTTCAACTACCTGATAAGATAAATAACAAAAAAACATATGCAACAAAATTTATTACCATGTATAAATAATATAATAAATCATAAAGTTACTTATACTCTTAACAAATCATATAGTCAAGCACCTGAGCAAGTTTGCTTCTCAAGGAATCCAACTGTGCATTCAGTTCTGCTGCCTGATCTGAGGAAGCATCAACAGATGGTTTATCCTATAGAACAGGGTCCAAGGAGACTTTCAGCCATTAAGTAGATGAACTATTTGGTAAATGAAAAGGTAGATTCCAACTCATAAACACAAACACATCCACTAACGAAAAATATTAAACCCTCATTTCAGTTGAACATACTCGTTTCACCACATGAGTGAAGATATCAAATAAACCACATGATAGTACATGTAGTAAGTCTACTGGTGAAGATATCAAATAAACCACAGGCAAGCATTTTCAATCATGACAAACTTTCATTTTTCTGACAAAGCATGAGAACATTTCAAAACATTAGACATGGCAATAGTAACAGAATAGATCAGGAATGTTCATAATCACAAATCAATTATTCATTCCACTATTTCTGATTCTTAATGACAATGTTGTTTTAGCTAAATATGTCCTTTCTTCATAGACAAAAAATGAAATGAGCAAAAGACTTACAAGTTAGCTAATTCAAATATTGTATGACATAGCCCATAAAATTGTAGAAAAAATCAGCTCCACCCAATTTGTTTGTGATAACATACAGCTTGAGGCAAAGAGAACCCTTGTGGAATAGTAAAGCACTGGCTCAAACAGTACTTCTCCCACATATAATGACGCTTGTCAAGCTTCATCTGAACCATGTTCCGTATATATTCTACACCCTACAAAATGGAACTATCAATTGTTCAAAGGAAGAAAAGAAACATTTCAGAAAGAAAAAACAACAAAGAACGACCAGAATTCAGTATGTATAACAATATAAGCCGCGAACTCTTAGATATCTTAAAAATGGAATGAAATCTAATGTGTGCTAACTGTGAATTGAAAATAGATATTGCAAAATAAGTGCAATAACACATCAAGCAAACCTTTTTAGAGGTTCAAATCGATCTGTATTCTGTACTCTCAATTTTCAGAACTGTTGCTGTTTCCCTGCATATAAAAACAACATTCTTCACTAGAAACAGCTCTGTATCATATTCAAAAAGAAAAAGCACTCTATAGAGAGAGAGAGGAGAGATCATACTGCAAAAAGAACTCAAATGCTTCATTTACAGTGGTGTTCACGGGATCGATAACTTCATTGATGAATAACTGAGGGTTTAGGTTGTAGTAATCAAAGATTTCCTCACTCTTGCTGCCTTGGATTTTCTTGATTTTGGTGTGATATAATCTTTATATATAAAAACTCAATCGTCTGGACCAAAACAGCTCCCACCTAAGATTTATAGTACATATGTGGCATATATTGATTACAAATTCAAGCTATTAAAGTCACACCTGCAATTAAAAACCACATGGCAATCTTAGCAAAAATATACGGAGTATAGATCAGATACATGTACTACAAGAAAACATAACACACTAAATATGACCACATGGATACATGTGCCACTAAAAATTCTCATATTTGTACAGTGTACACATGGCAATCTGTAAAGTCCAAATAAAACCAAAACAGCACTGATCAACGGTTAGATCTGCAGTTTCCAATCTGCAGTTTTCATGTTTGCAACTTGCACGTAATAGTGATTATTTTGGACAGTTTCCACGAACATTCCCTGCACAAAGTGAGACTCATTAAACTATAAATTGCCTTCCCTAGCAATCATCACAGTTTCGGAAATCTTTTATATGTGCTAAACTCTAACTATTCAATTTTTGCTTTACCTAAATTACTTTTCCATAGCTGTAAATATTTTGTTTAGCTATATGAGTTATTACATAATAATTTTGAATAATCGTTACTGTGTGTCGTGGAGATCTGATGATGTTGTTCAATAGAATCCAAGATCTTAATGTATCTAAGACAAACTGCGCACTACGAGTGAGACTGGTGCATGCATATGAAGGTCCAGCTTTCTCTAAAAAAATATGACCAACACATTGGACTGCAATTTTCATGACAACGAGGTACATTTAAACCATTTGGTTATGAATGAGTTATAATAATCCAATCACAAACTACATTTCACGAAATTGTCAAAATTGAATCCCTATTTGAGAATAACTTGGTAAAATGTTATACTACAGTTTCTACAATTTACGCAGAACACTTTTTCTCATTTGAACTTACTTTCTTTCAATAAGGCTGGGATATTTGGGGTTGCTGAGGAAGTAATTGATGTGGAGACTGGAGATGGTTGCTGGGACTACTTATAACGTGCACAGAAATGCAAGAATCTAAGATATTGGATTTTCATAATAATAATATGTGAACACACATCTTACATCTTAATTTCTAAAAGTATGTTATACACTTCAACCAGGGGCAGAGCTGGGGGGCAGGGGGTTCAAGGTGGTCAGCCGACCCCCCTGAAAGTTTGAGGGTATAGAGTTCTGAAATATCTTCGATTTGATATATTATGGCTTCCATAACTCATTACGGATAAGAAGTTACGAATTCTGAAAAATCATTACGGATGAGAACTCAACATAACAGTAGAGAATTAGAATATTATTGATGATTACAATGGCATAGATAGAAAGAGAGAAGAATGGATACTATTGAGACACTTCGAGTAGTCTCCCACTCCCAAGCCTAATTCCAAATCCAATGTCTGCCTAACCTCCCCCTTTCCTCCCTCCCGTTCTTATACTAAATCAAAAGGGCCGGCCCAACTCATGACTTACCTAGCCCGGGACTCTTATGTTTACACTATCACAATTATTTACTATAATTCTATTATTATTATTGTTGGCTGTTCAGGTCCCTATCATTATATTAAATATATTCCCAAAATAGCGTATAATTCTGACGTTACTTACGTGACATGACTTAGAGACAGAGCAAAGGCAACCTATCTTACTACTACGAGTGCCTAGCCACTCAATAGCCGATTCGTTTCTAGTAAGAAATCTTGATACTAAACTGGGTGAGAGGAGAACTATAGAGTACTAGGATAAGGCAAAGGGTCTCATCTGAGGCTGTCACCGGTGCAGAAACCCATCGACTAAACCCGTATAAAACAAGTTTATAATATACATGACATATATATCAACTATATAACTCTATTAGTTTCATTTAAACTACCATTTATCTAAGCTACATTCAATTCGAGTATTGGCTAAGAATAATCTACCGTTTTCGTTCTATGTAAAGTTGAATTTCGACCCCCCGAGTTGTTTTTCTAGCTCCGCCCCTGACTTCAACTCTTCAAGAACATATTTACTTATCAATATTTAATATAGTACTAATACCTATATAAATGGCTCGATACAAAGTCAAGATTCATATCAGGGACAGTACTGAAAATGCAGCATTTATCCTTGAATAATGCATACGAGAACCTTTTGAAAAAAAGCAGTTGAATTTGTCAGAAATCTGGAAATGTTTTCATTACTTGAAGACTAGTCCATGTGAGGGTTTTTAGGCATTTCTGATTCAACAGAAAACGATGAAGACAGGTGACTTTACTTGTAACATTCTAAAGCTTGAACTAGATGAAGACATCATTTCAGAGGAAAAAAGGAGATAGACCTCCCATGTACTGTTAAGGTCAGTGTGTATGCACTCTCATGAATCCTTATTTGTTACTAAATTTTCTGACACTGAATAATATCTTAGCATTCGGTATTCTATGGTGACAATCAAAATGAGGAGAAGGACGTCACAGATTCTGAGCATAGTGACCTTAATCTATAATATTCTGGCGGATGCAATTATGATCACATTTTAGGAGGGAAAAAGCTTCCTAAATGGATCGTGCCACACTAAAAGGAACAGCAAAGAGAAACAAGGAAGCTATGCTAGTGAAAATAGAGAAAAGCTGAAAGAATTATCTATGTAGTTTACTTGAGCTAATAATTTGTAAATATTTATCCACACAGAAATCCAGAAAGTTATTTGAGGCTAATATTTTATAATTAAAAAATACAGTTATAATTTAAATTTTATTCATATTCATCACATAAAAAAGTTATGGCAAGAGTGCCTTGGGATTAAAACAGGAAAATACCAATAGACAATGATTCAATTGACAATAAGTGTTTCAGAGATGTAATCATGTCAAAAACACTTATCTTCATACAAAATCACGGTCCTAAACTCCTGATTCAAAAATGTGAATTAAAAACACTTAATCTTCATACAATTTACAAGAGAAACACAAAATCAGAAAATAAAAGAACGAATCTCAACAACACCCTTTTAGCTTGATCTGTTTACTGCCGATAAAATGGAACCATTTAGAAGAACAATCAATATAAGATTAAAAAAACTAGGGAAATATGCAGTAATGAAATGACCAACCTCAAGGTGTGCCGGAGACTTCGTCTGACCTAAGGAGGACACAATAAAAACGTGTTGGATAGAGAACTACACTTTCTTTCTAATTTTTTAAACGCCCAATACATAAAAATTGTAGAAAGAAGATGTATCCCTAGTCTTAGTCATTAGAAACACACTTATTATAGAGGTTTTTGATGGACAAGTGTTTACTATAGAGGTTGAAAGCAGCTGCGAACGCAAGAATTTTCGATTGGCGGGGCAGCAGTGTAAAAAAATACATATAAATACATATATATTAAAATTTTGGGGTAAATATACCCATAAAAAATTTGGAGGGGCGGCGGCCCCCATTAGCCCCTGCCTAAGTCCGCCGCTGGTTGAAAGATGATGGGTAAACTTCAAAGTGTTCAGAAAGGAAATAATTGGACCTTAAATATAATTCGTGAAACACAAATGCCATCAACAGTACTGTACTACTGTTTATTCACCTAATCAGCTAAATGAAGTAAGAACAATTAGTATAACATAAGATACAGTATTAGTCTACTACACAACAACACTTTTGATGTGTAACTTGTTTTATCACAATTGCACTTGTGATATTCTTCATTAACAACTACCACTAACATACACTGATCCAAAGCAATGTTGTATGAGTTATTTTCCCATGGAAACTAGACAAAAGGTTGACAAAAATCACTGGTATTTACAAACTGGCTGTCATAGAAGTTGTACAAGAATGATTGCAACACAATATATCAATTTTAGAGAAGGCACCTGTCATGGGGATCACCAATAATCTCCACAAGAGCAGGTTCCATTTTTGAAGTGGTGGAACCGGTGCATATCGCGCACAACAATTTCTCTTTGAGTCACAAGAGAAATGAATTTCGTGGCAGTATGGCAATCACCACAAACCCGAAGGTTCTTCCTGATATTAATAGTTGTACCATGACTGGTATTTATAAGCGCAAATGCAATAGCCAGCTTCTCACTATGGGTACTGACCAGCTTTTCCTGAACATCATCTTCCACATCATGAAATGAATCTGTATTGGGTATATACCCCGCAGCTTTAATCCTCTCTATCAGAGTTTCAAGGTATGCATAGATTTGCTTTGACAGTGGGTGGGCAGTACTTCCAGAGTAAAAAGTGTGAACCTCATTTCTCAAGTCCACCAAACTACACCCTGGTGCTTTCCGAATCCCTTTTTTCTCCATCAAAATTCTTACTTGGGCCACTTTTTTCCATAATGAAGCCGAGGCGTATATATTAGCAAGCAGAACATAGTACCCACCATCACCTGGTTCTAACTCAAATAGTTTGTCTGCAACCTTCTCGCCCAACTCAACATTCTTGTGGATCTTGCAAGCACCCAACATTGCCCCAAATACATTGACCTCGGGCTTGACTGGAATATTATTGATAAAATCCCAAGCCTCATCAAGTCGACCGGCACGACCAAGAAGGTCAACCATTGCACCGTAATGGTCCATTAAGGGTTTTATCCCGTATTCTTCCTTCATGATTTTAAAGTAGTGCTTCCCCTTCTCTACAAAGCCCGAGTGGCTGCAAGCTGAGATGATACATAAGAATGTGATGTCATTCGGCTTTATGGATCGTTTGGGCATTTCCTCAAATAATTCAATAGCTTTCTTTCCAAAACCGTGTGTCCCGTATCCATCAATCATGGCATTCCATATTATTACCTCCCTATCATCATCCATCATGTCAAACAACTTTCTTGCAGTGGAAACGGCTCCACATTTTGCATACATGTCAAGAAGGGCAGTTACAACAAACATGCTTTTGTCCAAACAAGTCCTTATAGCAAGTCCATGGATCCACTTGGCCTGGCGTAACACTGATAGCTCAGCAAGAGCTGTGGCAACACTAACCAGAGTGAACGAGTCAGGTTTGATGTTCTGCAGTTGCATTTTGCAGAAGAGATTTATGGCTTCCAATACTTGTCCGCTTTGTGCAAAGCCCAAAATCATAGCATTCCAAGTTACAAGCGTCTTTCTGGTAGTAATCTCAAACAATCCATAAGCAATGTCGGCTCTTTTGCATTTACTATACATTGAGATTAAAGTATTAACAACGGAAGAGTCTGCCCCAAGTCCTAATTGATCAATCATTTCATGAATGTTTCGCCCGAACTCGATATTCCCCGATTCAGCACATGCATGTAGAGCAGCCATGACAGTGACGTTGGTTGGCTTCAATCCTTCATTTAGCATATTTTCAAACAAAACTAGAGCTTCATTTGAATTCCCACTTTGTGCATACCCATCAATCATAGCATTCCATGAAACCACTGTCCTAAGATGCATCTTATCAAAGACCAACCTTGCAGCACTGACAGAGTCACATTTTGCATACATATCCACCAGAGCAGTTGAAACATTTGCAGAAGATACCAACCCGTTTCTTAGGACATAACAATGTACGGATTTCCCAATCCTCAAGGATCCAATAGCAGCACAGGCGGGCAAAATTGAAACCACCGTGATCAAATCAGGCCTATGAGATGTTTCCCTGTGCATCCTCAAAAGCACTTCCAACGCCCTCTTAGGCATTCGATTCTGTGTAAACCCAGCAATAACTGTGTTCCAAGCCACCAAGTCCCTGTCAGACATTCTCTCAAACAGTCTGAGCGCATCTTCCAGCAGCCCACATTTCACATATAGATTCACAACGCCCGTCATAGCAAACAGATTACTCGAAAAGCCATTCAGTATCAACTGCCCGTGTATCTGTTTACCCTTCCGAATATCAGAACTTTGTGCGCAGGCCTTAATCAAATACGCGTAGTCATGTACAACGGGAGCTACATTGTCTGACCTCATACGAGAGTAGAAGGAGAAGCAAGACTCCAAAGAGGAGTGACTGGTATAGGCTCTGAGCATAGTGTGGTAGAGAGCATCCGGTTTGGAGCTACTGACGGATTCAAAGAATTTGACAGCGTCGTTCAAGCTGCCAAATTTAGAGAAAAGGCTGAGGAGCTTGGTTTGGAAGAGGTGGCCATTGTATAGGCCGTTCTTGATCACGACAGGGAGCATTTGGTGGAGCTCTTTTGTGGAAATGCAGAGCTCCAAGAGGATTGTGGGTTGAGTGTAAGCATGGGCTGGGATGCGGCTCCTGGAGACAAGGGACGATGGTAATGGCAGCGGCGGCTGTGCAACTGAAGTGCTGCCGAGTACCTGGAAACTCATTTAGATTGCGAAGCAAAAGTTGATCTGTTGATGCGCACAGCCACCTTACTAATGTTTCTATATACGCAATACGCCTTCCAAATGTCTTAAACTATCAACAACAAGAGAATCAACCTTCTGGAACTCATCGGAAAAGATAAATGCCTCATTAGTACTACTACCTCCTTCCAGTTTAAATTTCAAAATGAAAAATGGTGACAACGTTTTTGGCATGAGTTCAAGTTTGTTCTAAATAATGGAGGCATAAGTTACTATAGAACTCCTTTAAATACAAAGTAGCTAAGTTGGTGCATTTTTAGGATTGAAAAAACAAAAATTCTTTGCATACACGTTCTTATACACACCAGTATACCTCCGTGTCTGTGAGAGTTTTTTTTGGAAAATTCTACAGACAAAACAAGCCAGTTTTTGTCTGTCGATTGTAATTCACAGACAAAAAAAACTCTCACAGACACGGAGGTGTACCGATGTGTATAAGAAGGAAGGTGTTCATTCGGTTTCTCTGTTTCTTGCTACACCGTTAATCCCCTTCCTGACTTCCTCATTAAGAGGCCGTTTGCCAACCCTCATTTTCGGCTTATCAGGCTTATCAGCCAACTTTTTTACCAAACACGTAAATTTTGATTTCGCGCGCTGAATTGTGTAATAAGCCGAAAAAGTAAGGTTGGAGTTACTTTTCTGGCTGTATTGGCTGAAGTTACCGTAGATGATCATTTTAGCTATTTTTACATATAATTTTTTCTTTATTTTATTAATAAAATATAGGGAAAAGTACACTTTACATAATTGTGGTTGTGGCCGTTTGCAATCAGGGGTCTGTGATGAACTTTGCAACAAACCCAAGCTTGTGCTTTCCTACCATTACCACCCGCGGGGTCTAAGCGACTGGGCCGTTAGTAATACGCTACGTGGCACTTTTTTTTGCTTACGTGGCTTTTAATCCCAATCTATTAACACCATGTGTGATTACATGGCTTTTTATCCCTAGTCCATACCGTGTTAACCTATTTGGACCATATACGCATACGAAATCCATTCCCCTCTTCCACAAACACAAATACAAATTTGAAGAGATGAGTTCTTCTAATTCGAGCTCCTGTGCGATGGATGGAAGACAACAAATCAAGAAGTGCGGCTGTGGAGTCCAAGCTCCTATTTGGACGGCGACAACAGAGAAGAACCGGGGGAAAAAGTTTCATGCAATTTTTTGAGTGGGTTGAAGAAGATACGTGTTGTACTTGTCTGCATAACTTAGATGCTGTTATTGAGAAGGTCAGAAGACTTGAAGAATATGTCCAGATGAAAGAGTTGGAGATGGAGGGTCAAATAAAGAACTGTGTGCGTGAAATTGGTGTGTCGAAGGTTCAGAACATGGAACTGCAACTGCGGATGTCTAAGAATCATAATGTCACTTTTAAGTAGAAGCTGCTCTGTCTGGCCATGTTAATTTTCATGTTCTTTGCAAGTAGAAGATTTTAGGTCTAAGTTCTTTGCTAAGTTTTCGATGAAATGACCAAACCACGTGTAATTGTGTTTGGAGATTCCTTTAATTTAATTTCATGTGAGACGTTTTGTTGTGAGTGATGTCCAATGTAATGCACCAATGTAAGAACCTTGTAAGGGTTGATGTCAGATTGTATGAAGATTTTGGCTGTAACAATTTGTGTGAACTTGTTTAATGTTATAGCAGTTTATTTCTCCACATCTTCTGTTGGTTAATGTTATAGTAGATATACTGGGAGTGCTGTGAACTTCTTTAATGTCATTGTGGTGTTACAGAACAACTTCTTTTGGGTCTGAAATTCTTAACCCAAAAGATTGATTCTGGCTTTACCTAAAACAGAACATATGGTTTGAGTAAACATATTACCAAAATAAACAGATACTTTCCATCCAACACATACGAAATTCATCCAACAACTTCAGAACATATGCTAACCACAAAATATGTTCCTTACATAAGTATCATTACAAAACACATGCTTACTAAGGCATGATTTAAAAGTTCATATACTGATTTCTAAACATGTCTACTAAAGCACCATTCTTCTTCTCCCCACAACAAAACTGCAACATTTCTGGTCTCTTGTCAGTTAATCCTCAACTTTGTGTGCCCTGAAAAAAGTAATAACATCATAATAAGTGTAAAAACAACACATTACAAGAGTAACAATGCAGACCATACAATTACCATTGAGGGCTGTGTACTTGAGGACCTAGTCACTCTTTTGGAAGATGGTTGGGATGGTTGTGAAGTGCTGATTCTCCTTTTCTTCTTTGTTCTTCCTCCAGTGCTTTGGGAAACCGAATCATGGGTCATGGGAGTTGTTAATTCACTGTCATTATTGGTTGTCTGAAGTGGCTCATGGGAGGTTGGTTCAGAAATATCATCAACACCCTCTGCTTCTGTTTGGACATTTTTTTTCTTTCCTAATCTCTTTCTCCTTTGCCATGGTGTTTCTCCAGTTATGGATGTCTTACACCCTCTAACATTGTGTCCCACTTGCTTACAGTTGCCACAAACCACCTGCCCTAGACACCTTGAAAGGATTCCTTGTTTCATCAGGTTGTTTAATCATCTTCTTTTTTGGTCTTCCTGCAGGTTTTCTAGGGATTGGGGGCACAATATCTGGACTCTCTATCCTCTCCCACTCATCTTTACTTGGCAGAGGATGGATAATGTGTTTATACACAGCTAAGTAGGTGGATCTTTGATATCTCCTTGGATCTTTGCCTTTGCTTTTCTTCTAGCTCTGTAACACTTTGCAAGACTCACCTCTGCCCTTAACTGTCTTTGAACTGACTTTTGCATAGCAGTGACATCCCACTCAGGATTTTCCCTCAACTCATCCATGTACTTTTTTGCCAAATAGCTACTACTCACCAAGCTGTTTCTGTTACTAAAAGGGCATTCATGTTTGGGCCTGAATGTTTTTATTTGGAAGGACCCACATTCTGGAACTTTTGATGCATGAACCCTGAATGAACAAATGTCCTTGTTTTTGCAAACCACAGTGATTTTAGATCTATTGTTCTTCACAAATTTGAATTCAAATCCACCCTTGACTGCCCATTCCTTAAGAGCATTTCTAAAAGAGGTATGTGAGGTAAATTTCAAACCTTTGGATAATTCTGGATTTGTAGCTCCTGTTTCTTCATTGAACTCTTCATACTTTTCATCACCATCTTCAGATCCTACAATGCTATGCAAGTCATCACTATAGCATGGACTTTCATTAAACTCCTTAAGCTGCTCTTCATTCAGATCTTCTGAAAAAAAGGGGTTTGGTTCTGAAGGTTGGTCTGGACCTGGGGGTGGTTTTTGGCTTAAACTTGCAGCTCCATGATTAAATACATCATCTTCACTCCCTTCTAGGTCATCATATAGCAAGGAAGCTTCACTCCCTTCTAGGTCATCATATAGCCAGGAAGCTTCACCGATATTGGAATTGGAATGGTCATGTGAAGCACTTTCAGATGCACTTTGATTCACATAGTCTTCATCATCCTCATCACTCTGTAATTCAGTTTCAAGAAATGTAGTGGATTCACCCACAGATTGGTCTGCTTGTCGAGCTTGATCTTTATTTTGTAATTGAGTTGGGACTGAAGTGTGGGCTTCATGTGAAGATTGGGTTGTTTCTTTTGCTAAAGTACCAACCACCCGTTTTTTACTTGTGTTTGCAACAAAGTACAAGTCAATGTGTGGGTCCATTATGTTACACACCAACATGTCTTGAACATCTTTATCACACACTATCTCTTGCAAGGTGACTGGTCCACACAACTCCCTAATTGAGAATCTTCTAAACCACATTTTTACCCCATTTGTATAACCCAAATCTGCTGCATATCCCTTCAATTCGAACTTGCTCACATAGTCAATGTCAACTTTATCTTTTTTCAAAACATGGCCTCCCACATACTTTTTCTTTTCTTTTGGACTGTCCCACTTTCCACCATGGTGAATTAACAAATTCACGTACTCACTCATACCAAACCTGCACATACATTCAATGCGGACAAACAACACTTCAATACCAAAAAAGAATGAAAATTTAAACTGCAACACAAACTTCAATACCCATTAACACTTCCAACGAACCCATTCGCACATTAATTTACCTACCAACCAGGTTTTCCAACAAGCGTCACACCCTAACCAAAATATGTAAACCAAAGAAACAATTATTGGAGTACTTACTTTCACGTGAAGACTCTGAGGACAAAAAACTACAATTCCATCTGTCAGTGCTTGCGTTATTGTCCTTTGTCTGCTTCGACCAACAATCTTTGTTCTTTCCCAACCGGAGGTGTAGAATCGAATGAGAGGAAGAATTGGGTTTTCTTCAGTCCTAATTTCACCTAATTGTAATTGGGTTTTCTTCAGCCCTAATTTCACCTAATCTTTGTAATTGGGATTAAAAGCCACGTAAGCAAAAAAAAAGTGCCACGTAGCGTATTACTAACGGCCCAGTCGCTTAGACCCCGCGGGTGGTAACGGTAGGAAAGCACAAGCTTGGGTTTGTTGCAAAGTTCATCACAGACCCCTGATTGCAAACGGCCACAACCACAGGTATGTAAAGTGTACTTTTCCCTAAAATATATTTCAAAAATATTTTATTCTTGTATCAGCAGAATCAACCAATGCAGTCACTTCAGCCAGAACTTCATAAATTTCAGCAGAATCAGCCAAAACAGCCGATTTTCGTGCTACCAAACAGGCCCTAAATTAGTACCCCATATTATTAAGTCATTGATTTCATCAGTTATGGATGGTATAGATGTACTCCAAGCCTTATGCCTTTAGCAATTATAATATTTTTTTTGTGCGATTTCAGAAAAACTTGTGTGCTTCCTAGCTACCGCCTTTGCACTATAGGGAATCTCTTTCTTTGCTTTCCTTGCCCCTCTGTCTGTGCTGCTTTACAATTTATTTTTGATGTTTTGGTGCACTGTTGATTGAGTCCAAAATGAAATTGGGAAAAGGTGTTGGTGTAATGAATTATACTCATTTAGTGTAACGAGGAAGTCAGCTTGACAAACCTTTTCGGAACGGAGATAGTATCATTTAGTGTAAAACCAAGAATGAATTATACGTAGTGTGAATAAGTGAAATACATGACTCGTAGATATACATGACTCAAAGCAAAGAAACAATATTCTTGACTTCTTGTTCCTAAAGACAATAGAAGTTCTTAATGGAGCACAGTATCACTTCTGCAT